CACGCTCGCAGACGCACACACGAGCACGTAGACGCACACACGAGCACGCACGCACGTAGACGCACACACGAGCACGCAGACGCACACACGAGCACGCACGCACGTAGACGCACACACGAGCACGCACGCACGCACGTAGACGCACACACGAGCACGCACACACGCACGTAGACGCACACACACGCACGCAAGCACCCACGTAGACGCACACACGAGCACGCACGCACGCACGCACGTGGACGCACACACGAGCACGCACGCACGCACGTAGACGCACACACGAGCACGCACACACGCACGTAGACGCACACACGCACGCACGCACGCACGTAGACGCACACACGAGCACGCACGCACGCACGTAGACGCACACACGAGCACGCACGCACGCACGTAGACGCACACACGAGCACGCACGCACGCACGTAGACGCACACACGAGCACGCACGCACGTAGACGCACACACACGTAGGCGCACACGCACGCACGCACGCAAGCACACGTGAGCGCATAACCTTATTTGCACTACGGCTGCTCCCAGCAGCAATAAATTTGAGCAAATGCGCACAATAAACACAAAAAGTACATGTTGTTGCAATATACGTGACTGCGACAACCAGTATTACACCATCCTCACTGTACTTCCCAACAAACGGTTAAAACTCAACTAGTATATAGTATATACTAGTAGTATAGTAGTATAGTATATACTAGTAGTGTAGTAGTATAGTATATACTAGTAGTGTAGTAGTATAGTATATACTAGTAGTACAGTAGTATAGTATATATCACTATAGAGACTTGGGGGGCCGGTGGGAATAATACACTGCCAGGATACTACAGCAACTATCGGCATGTCTGAGTGAAGCACACACACTATCTACGTGTTCGTACGTGAATATCGCGCGCCACAACCATCCGCAATTCAGGATCACACGCGCTATCAGTGGCGGCGTCGTTCTCCGCCGACACTCCGTCGTCTGCGCCGCTTCGCACTGAGGCTGCGCGCGTTGCCGTGGCGACGCCGCGATGCCTCCTCCTGGCCACCACATTGCCGGGTGCTATCAAACGACTCTATCTACGTCTTCCTCCTCTTCTGCTTGGCTTCAGGGATTCCTCGGCATTTGGAAGGATGAGGAGGCTGCGGAACGCCACGCGTCATTCTTCCTCCACCCCTGCCCTACGTTGCTGCCATCCCGCCGACGTTGGTCGGTGGTGGTCGCTGGCCGTGTGAGAAGCACGCGCGCTATGCGAGCGCGGTGAGCGAACATTACGATCATCATCGCCGGGCAGGAAACCTGAGCGAGCGCAGCCTCCATTGAGCCTCCGCCGTGGCGGCGTCTGTCTGCGGAGATCGCGATCGCGCGCGTCACAAAGTCACGAAGATCAGCCGATTTTACCTGCATTTTATTTTACTGCTTATGCTTACTTTTATTTCCATAACAGGTCCCGACGCGCGCGTGCTGAAACGCGCGGGTGCAGCGCAGACAATGGAGCGCGCTACTATGTATTAAAGGGAGGGAGGGTCAGAAGAGGGGGTAGGGACAAAAATTCAAGATACTCCCAAAAAGAGAACTTCGTCCCACGAGAGATTGCACACCTCTGTCCCACCACTAACAGGCCCACCCACTGAGTGATTTCCCCCCAAAATGATTCTCGGTGCACATGTAGTGATATTGCAGCATGCAAGCAGATCCTGCTGCCTGTTCGCTTCCTCCTCACCACCATCCACCCTCGACGCGTGAATACGTCAAACGGATGTCCGCGATCGACGCAAAATTGCGCACTTCCTCCTCAATAAGATTTATAAGCAGATATTCGTCATCAGCTCGATGAGAAAGAGAGAGAAGGGGCGAGAGAGAGCGAGGGGGCGAGAGAGAGAGAGAGAAGTGGGCGAGAGAGAGAGCGAGGGGGCGAGAGAGAGAGAGAGGAGG